CAATTAGTTCCTGTGAAAAAAGTTCCAGTGGAAGAAATATCACAGGAAATATATTCTGGGAGAACTTTTTTCACAGATAATTTCTATATGATTTGTTCAATCTCTATAAAATAAGTTCCACAATTTACCTGGTGAAATAAGTTCTGGGTTTGTGAAATTTGTTCCTTACATGTACCTAGTGATATAAGTTCCGGAATGTGAGATTTGTTCCTTACCTGGTGAAATAAGTTCCTTGTCTGTGAAATATGTTCCACTAGCTATACAAGTTATCTTTTATACTGAGCACTGTTATCAGTGAGTTTAAAGTTATAATTCAAGTACATTATAAAAACATGTATCATATTGATAATGTAATAAATAAAAGGTGTAAACATCCAATATGGATTCAGTGGAGTATAGCAAAATATTTAATTATAATTATAATATCCATAAAAAAAATACCCAAATGACAATAATTTAATTAAGCAGATAGGCGAAGAATAAGAAAAATACGTCAGAAGTTTTGTATAGATCAATCATTTATTTATTAATATTGCAATTCAACATATGTTACTTCATATCAGAATTTGTAGACAAATTGTCTTCACAGAGATATGTCTCACCCTTTTGTAATTTTGATTATGCAAATGTTGAAATTAAAATAGCAATACTTTAACATGTTTCATAAGTTATGCAAATATTCAAAGTCAATGAACCATGAAGAGGAGGTGAGGCTATATAATCTCCATGGAAACGATACTTGCAAATGCCAATAAATTTGCATACCAAATATCGTTGACTTTGACTTAACATTAGCAGTTCATCTTAAACTGATCTAATCACAAACTAATACATGTAAACTAAGCAAAAGTTTCTAAGTCGATAGACCATGATTGAGGGGGCGGGGCCAAATATTCTCCATGGTAATGAGATGTGCTAATGCTTATACAACTGAATACAAATTAACATTTGCCTACCCTAAATGGTTCCCCTTGAACTGACCTAATCACAAAGACTTCAATGTTGAGTATTACATTTGTCAGGTAAAACTATAGAATTTGTTGCTTGATATAAAGTTAATGCACCATGTTAATCTATAACACCCGGAACTCATTTAACATTTAGAAAAAAATTAGTTCCGGAACAAATTTTACAGTGCTGGAACATATTTCCTTACAATATATATTCCGGGTATAAATTTTCTGTGATATTTATTCCGGTGGAACATATTTCCTATGAAATAAGTTCGGGCGGAACAAACGTTACGCCAGAACAATGTTTTTGTTACAAAAACAATCTTAATAGCAAAAAATAATTTAGACATTACTTGAAACTATGAGCAGGGTCCGGAACAAACTTCTTATGTTTGTTTTGAGGTTTATTGACTATTTATACTAGACATGCTATATGAGAGAAAGAGAAATAAAAAAAAAATATAAATTTAAAAGACGAAAATACTGTTGGCATTTTAAAAGATTATTCTTAATTGTATGTTTTCTACAAGAATTGTAAAACAAGTATAAACATACATATACTATGATCATAAAACAAAAAGACATTTATATGTCAACATACGAACGGTCTCTCACAAAAGATTATGTCAATCCAGTATGTCAAGCTTTTAAGGGTAAGTATGATAAGGGCCCTATTCCTCATCCAACATTAAATGGTATAGTAAATAAATATGAAGATATGTACAAGTAAAACAATAACAAAAGATACAGTATCAAGCTGTATGCTTAACAAAGTTTTTGGTCAAATTTGCTGATTCTCTTATGTTGATGGCCTCATAGTGAACTTATAATAGCTTTGCAGAACTTATCACCTTCTTTTTAACCAACGACGTCCATTATAATTTGAAAAAGAATGGCGCCGAAACTACTATGTTTTGAATTTCAGGCGCTTACGATAGGTCTTATATAACAAATTACCTTTTCGATGCCTATTATGAAGGAAAAACTTTCAGGTGGAAGCGGTCATACTTTTCTATCCCAAATAAATAAGCAAACAACTTAAGAAAAAGTCGAACAACTCCGATATCTGTTTGAAAAAAAAATCGATAAAAAGACATTACCCCTCCATTTCCAGTGTCAATACTTTCCCCAAAAGAAATTGGTAAATCTAAAAAAATGGATAAGCCTTTTATAATTTTTGTAATCCACTACAATTTACATACAATTCTGAACGAATTAAACTACAAAGAGAAAACATTTTCCACTTTCATCAGCTATGAGACGGCTAGCTTTTCAGAAAAGCTATTACTTGTTAACTTGTTGTACCTCACTTCTCTGGTCGATTAATGAGTTCCAGCCTGCCTGATTTAGCTCATCTATCATTTAAACAATCAATACAACAGACGTAGAATGAAATCTACCTGATAAAAAATACATGTTTCCATCGATTTGAAATGTGTCATTTTATGCCAGAATTCACTGGACGGTTAACTTAAAATAGAGAACCATTAACGAGAAACGTGCGAACACAATCCGTATATCAATTCGTTAAAATTCATCAATGTCGGAAACATTTGAACTGTTTGTAAGAACAAAGCTGCGGATATTATTTTCCATAGTGAAAACGTAGAATATCTTTTACATAATAGAAGCTTTTGAGTGTCTAATAAATATTTTTTCTCTCAGTCAATTAGATGTAAAAGTATTGATGCGCGCTTGATAAAAAGCTTTCCACCGCGGCTTATTTGTCGATGCATTGTGAAATAATACTCTTCTCTCACGCCTTCACGTTTTGAACAAATAGATCGATTTTATAAATCTCGGGTAGATACATTTACGTCGTGTTTGAAAAGAGGATTTTAAAAACATCAATAATCTTTTTATAATCCTACTTTATTTTCAATAATGCATTGATATTGTTGAAAGATAAACTTCACATCAAAATCATGGTTTTCCCAATACTTTTTAGTTGAAAATCGACGTGAAATATGAGGAACTGGGTAGTACAAAGCATAAATAACTATAAAGTACTGAATGTTTAGGATCTTGAAAGGTTTTATTCACAGTCGAAAGTGTGATAAGGTTAAGCACAGTTGAACCTTCAATACGACGCATCGCAGGGATTACATGCAACAATTTGTTGTGTAAGATAAACATATAAAAGATGATTAAATAATAATGATATGCTTCTGGTTCTCCTCTCAAGATTCCAAAATTAGAGATTCCATAGCAGTGTAATTTTCATTTTCAAAAAAAGTTTTTTGTATGACTGAAAGTTGTTTCGCCCTATGACCAGACAGTATACTCAATCTTACTGCCATCCTCAATCAAGCACAAAAACTTGAATTTGCATAACTATGTTACACGCCAATTCCTTATACAACAAAGATATAAAAAAAGAATAATGCTAGTATTGCTTTTCATTGGCTATTAATTCGTATAATTTACAAAACACCTGCTTCCAGGAGAATTTGATTTATTTAGACGATTACATGTCTCTCCAATTACTCATAAAAGGCTGTTATATATGAGAAAAAAATGTCTTTAAAATAGGTAAAATAAAATCATCGAGGAGGTTTAAAATGGGACAAAACTTCATGAATTATATATATACATTTTGTATATCTGAAATGAAGCAAAGCTGTATAAATATGGTCTAGATAGGCAAAGGGGGACATTTGTTGGCACTTAAAACACCACAACATGTTGTGCCTGTTCGTCTGGTAACCTGGGCCTACCACCATGTGTTGCTGTCTTTTTGTATGTTTATTTTTTCTGGTTTTGTTGACTAGGTATGTGTTTGGTGATCACTTATCCTTTATTTGTATATGTGGAGGTAAAAATTCCTAACATTTGAAAGATAGTCGGCTTCTATTAGGAGTGTATTTCTTTGATTTTTTTTGTGAATTTCTGACTCATATCGTCTACAAATATAATTTAACTCTGTTATAGGTCATAAGGTAGAGTTATAATATGGTAGACATGGTGAAAACTTCATTTAAAGTTCCACATTATCATATTTGCACCAAATAGGGTGTACTTGTATAAATTGTAATTTATTCATATTACCCCGCACCTGTGTGTGTTCTTCGACGCACACATGTAACGTTGTCGACATTTAGCAAAGCAAAGAGTCGCGCTCAAATCGTCCCTTATGGCCATCTTGAACTTTCAATGAGGCGTAGACGTTTGCATAATTCTTATGTCTGAATGTGACTATGGAATGAAGGGCAGCGCCATTTTGCTTTGTGTTTTATCAAGTGTATGAAGGGGTGGCATGTATTTTACTCTTTATATGAATACAAATAGATGTGGAGTATACACCATTTAAACAGCAATCCAAAGGCACAAACAACAAAAGACATATAGAAGTCAATTTACAGTTGTCTACAATAGATAGATGACTATAGCATATGTCAAGAACTGATGCCAAACTGTAAATGATCCCGAATCTAAAAAGCGAATTTCTCAAATTAAACGAAAAAAAAACACCAAACCATTATCTATTGATATGACAAAAAAACGTTTCGTTCTTTACCATTGATCATAGGCAATAAACAGATAAACCAATTACGTCAGGGAGTGATTCCAACACTTACAAAAATCGAAATATCTTACAGAATTGGTGCATTATAAAAACTCGCAAATACATCTTAACACTGAAAAATATGTACGCGAATTTAATTTATAAATTTATTATCACAAATTCAGTATTATTTTCTAAAAATAATTTATGAGACCATAAGACGATCTGTTTCTTATTATGTAATTCAAGAATTCACAAGACGTATTTTACTAAATATTTATATGTCTATTTGAGAAAAACAAATGCGTATATTAAATTTATTTGATGTATGAGTATCATCATTCCGAATGTAAATTCTATTCACATCATTCTTGATGGATATCAGAAATTCTATTAATTAAATAATGTTCGTTTATATTATTATCAATATCATTGTCACGAATATTTTCTTTTTTCTATATACTTTTGAATAAAGTTCCAGTATACTTCTGCAAAAAACAACTAATTAGCATGAATAAATAATTTAAGAAAACTAGACATACCTCGAAATAGAAGATTTTGCGGAGGATGCGGCATCTCTTGCTGGATAGATGATTCTTTCCTTGAGTTGTTGAAAGTTTCCAAACGGCATTACTTCATATATTCACAACTGTACAACAAATGATTATAAGCAGAAAAAGTTGCAAGCAAATGCTAAAATGTGAAAAAGGAGAAACAAATGTATGTCGTCACAGATAAAGTCCTCTTGTGATGTAGTGAAAATCAAATTATTCAAGTTCCGCCGCCGTAGGTGTTACTGGTTCTATTTGAGAAGATGATTCCAGTCCGATGAAGACCAACCAATCAAAATGCGAGAAAAGCTTTAAAATATTCATGCGCTACATTCGTTTTCGTAAAATAGTTATTTTATTTTAGTTCACACAAATAGAGGAATTCAATCAAACGGTTCGTGAATATTGGTAGAAAACAATATAACTCCCGTGGGTCCATTAGTAAATTAAATTTCACAGAGGCAATTCCTGCAGTGGGAGGAACGGTTCTTTCTAAGCTGATTTAGTTTGCGATGAGTTTTTCAACATATTCCACTATCATTATATTCACAAGAGAGCGTTGTAATAACAATAGGGCAGTATTGATCGGCTTAATCTGACTTTAAAGGTAAATGCAACAGATACTGAAATTTACATCGACACTCGTCAACGAAAGCAGACGAGCTAAATGCACGCGACATTCTGCAATCCTCGATTTGATATATTTGATTTTCGTGATTTTTTTTCGTTGAACTTAATTAAGAACATAAGTATTTGTTTTAGCGGTGACATTTATTCTAAGTTTATTAAAAGCTGAATTTATTTGCTCAGATAGATTTATTGGAATTAAACCTCATTTAACTATCCTTTATATCGTTTTTTAAGTACAACACTTTTCATAATGAATGAACGATAACGCTTGGGATTTTTCAAATAAAACGAGTGCATATTTCCCCCAAAAGTTAAGAATAATAAAATATAAAACCCTCCCCCACAAAAAAAAACCCCAGATAATCGTTCATTATTGTATTTGTTTGTGAATCGAATATTTGATTGAATTTTGTTTATCCATCAAATTGTCCGTGTTCCCATTGAACACACATTAAAACAGTGCCTAAAAGGCGCTTCTACGTACGTTTCTAAAAATACATTTTTTTTTGTTTATGTCATTTCTGCTTTTTGGTATAATTTTTTTTTTATTCTATCATTTCTGTTTTCTTTAATATATTTTTGATTACTGTTTCCTTTTTCTTTAATATATTTATTTGTTTGAATTGTTTCATTGAGATTTCAAGGCAAACCTCTGTGATTCAAACAGCGTCTATAACGTCTAGCTAACAATTATCTTGATCTTCGTATGGGGTACAAGCGTTTGCGTGCTGTTGTAGGCCTCATTGTGACTTTGAAATACAGAACAGGATGTGCGTGTCAGCAGTTTGTATCTTGAATTAATACACCATTTACTCTTTTCCATTACAAAATGCATTTCAGAAATTGTCAGGAGCCTGTAGTTCAGTGGTTGTCGTTGGTTCATGTCTGTCATATTTGTTTTTCGTAAATTGTTTTGTTATAAATTAGGCCGTTAGTTTTCTCTATTGAATTGTTTCATATTTTTCATGTCGGGGCCTTTTATAGCCGACCATACGGTATGGGTTTTTCTTATTGTTGAAGGCCGTACGGTTGCCTATAATTGCTTACATCCACTTCATTTGAACTTTGGTGGTTAGTTGTCTCATTGGAACTCATACCATTTTTATATACATTGTATCATGTGTAGTGTTATTGGATCGTGTTTGTAGTTTTTTTCTTCTCATGTCTTGAAATACGAACTTTTTTACACAGTACTTTTTGTACGTGTTGTTAAGCTCATTCATAAAGTCTGTTCAACAGAAATATACACTTCTACGCAAAATCGTGGTAATCTACTGTTTGTTTTTATTATTAATAATTAAAGCCTCGATGTGATACTTTGGGGAAAAATCTCATTTTAGAAAACGCAATCTTTTAATTAGCTAAGCACTATTTCCCCCAACAGTGAGTTAAGCAGGCTAGTATTTTTTTGTTTTGGTCATACTACATTCGCATCACTTAAATATATTTTTTAGGATTTAAACACTTTTCCCATGTGGAAGTGTCGAGCGCCAATATCATATTTGGACCAAATGCTCATTGAAGAATAAAAATATTTTAGCGAAAAGCTTTTTACGTGTTCATTGACTATTATTTATATTCTTGTATTAAAAGATTATACTTTTTTAGCAGTTTTAGTAACTTTTTAGACAAATACCTTTTTGACTCGTTAAAGTCCGTGCAGTGACCTCTCAATGTTCTTGTTCTAGCGATTTTGTCTTAACAACTTTAATGGTTTACATTTTTTGCATTTTCATGCAACATTGATAGCAGTGCATATTTGTTATCAGATTCAAACAATTCGCTGTTTCAGAATCTAATGCATTCTGGGTAATATTTTCAAAAGCGTACAACAAAACGTTGTCATTGGTTTAAAACGTTCTAAACAATGGAAATTCAACCAATGACGTAACGCTATTTTCATTTTTGTGTACGTACAATGAGATTACCCATAGTGCTTTAGATTCTGAAAAAGACGTATTGCTTTGATATACTGGTATTATATTGACACTAAAAGACGCACGGTTTTCTGTGGATTTTAAAATGCAATTTGACCGTAAAATGTCGTTTTCTGTGTTTTCTAGGCGCATTTTTACAAAACGTACATGATGAAATTCAAGAATTATATGTCGTTTTTCGTGGACGCTGGTAAAGAAACCATGTCCGGAAATATATCATTGGTTTCTTTAGTTGTTAAGTACTATGTGCTGCTTGTATCTTATTAATTGAAAATTGGAAACGCTCATACAAACAAAGCATGTTAATACCTTAAAATGTGAATAATAGGAGATATGAGATATCCACACAACCACCAAACTAATCGCCATGCAGTTTTTGTTGGACTCGAGCATCACTGATTGTCTAAATGCGCATCTGGCCGGTGCAGTAAAATTGGTACGGTCGAAGTTATTACTACCACTGAGTTGATACCTCTGCATGTCGACTGTTAGTCCCCAAGGGTATCAGTAGCACAGTAAATAGTATTAGCATGACAATACGGATATTGTTTGATTATAATTTGTTGTTATAAAATGTTGGAAACTATTTTATATTGCGAATATAACTCCCTCATGTAAAGCTATGGTGTCTTGTCCAGATTTGGCTATACTTTAGGTCATTTTGGTTTGATCAGCTCTTTAACGTTTGTATTAGATTTTGTTTTTTTTTTTTTTACATATTTTGACCTCGAGCATCACTGGAGAGAAATTGATTGTCGAAATGCGCATCTGTAGTAGTAAAATTGGTACCGTTTATGTTATTAGAAACTCAAGGACCATGTGTCTAACTTGGTATTCCATTGAGTAAATAAGATATATTTAAATAATCAACGAACGTTTTAAATGTTTCTTAGGGCAATTACATTGCAATTTCTTTTATTTTCCTCACATCAGATTTCATCAACATCATACAACACAAACAACAAAGATAAACAATCAAACATACTTAATTTTGATAACACAATCACAATTGATAAAATTAATGAAAATTTCATTCTGCATATTTATTTCTAAATGCGTATTTAGGAGATCGTTTATAAAAAGACAAAAAAGCATGTTGTATGTCCAGCAACTGGTCCTCAATATAAAAATGTGGAGACGTGGTGTAATTCTAAACGAGACAATATTCAGTCTTAGACAACAAAAAAAATGCTAACACGACAATATTATTCTGGTGAAAAATTATTAATTAAAGTGATTGATCAGGTCTGCTCGTTATATTTGAATGTGACTAATTATCAAGATAAATAACAGAACACATTGTTAAGTTTAAAATAAAAAATTCCGAAATAAATATAAAAAAGTATGATGTAAGATATCGTAATAACAGAAGATTCGATTCTTTTCTCGTACTCACATTACATACTCCTACTGCCAAAACGAAAAATAAAAAAGTAATGAAATTATGTTTTCGTTTTTTAAACTCTTTCATTTATGTGCCTAGTATTTAAACAGTCGGTTTTATTGTTTGTCTTGCTTTAAATCTGCTGGCAATAACCTCTTTATTATTAATCATGTTAATTTTTTACTTAAACAAATCGTCATTCGATACATTCCATCATAACAGAGTACTGTATCACATTTCATAGTTTATTGAACTTTATTACTTTTAATTTATTTATAATCAATGACCAATTAATAACTCGAGTCACCAGTCAATTTTTCTACAATTACATCAATTACGTGAAAATTATCTCAAATTGTTGACATTCAAATAGTTACACAAATCAACCACTGCATTCATACATAATTGATTCGTATACTGTGGAATGAACAATGGCTATAGTTAAGACATTCATTATTATGTATAACCTATAACGAGCCATTGGTATCAACATTTCATTACTAATTACAAAATCCCTTGTCAATACTATTGAACAGGTTGTTTGGAATTAACGAGAATATTAGAAATGATTAAATTCAGAATTTATTAAACAAACTGCACCAAAAAGGACAATACATGACTTTTCCTGCATAAACGCAGGCCTTCGGATGTTTTTTGATGGAGTTGGTAAATGAAAGCCAAACGATGCCGCAGCTGGTGACATGGGCTAGAAACCATCATATGTCTAATAATGGGCAAGGTACATACACCGTAATGGCCCGACATAAAATGAATTTTAGATTTTTTTTAATATTTCAGACGGTCAACATAAAGGATTGAATATTCTGTCAGCTAAACATAAAAAAAAGTTTTTGCACGGTTCTGATGTGAGGTAGCTCCTCTCAAAATTAGAAACTGGAAGGTATGATCAAAGAAGTTCATGAAAGGACAAGTTTTAACTGAACTGCTATATATTGTCTTGAAGACCGTACTTTGACCTATAATTGTTAACTTTTTATACATTGTGACTTGGATGGAGGGTTGTCTTATTGGCACTAATACCACATCTTCTTATTCATTTTATAGACGTTGTGTTTTATGTTATTTTAAAATTATTACTAGGTTCAAGACAAATCATGATATTGTGAGCTTTAGACTTGGTGTGTGTTTTTTTTTGGTGTGTGTGATTGCTGTGTTGAACTACTTGCGACTGTGCAGATGTAATGTGAGCGACCAATTGTTGTCTGACTGATATAATGACTGAGCACCACTGACTGGTTGATGACTCAGGCTTATAATAACTTCTGACTGGTTAACTGGAAAAATACAGACAATTTGAAATATAATACTTTATTAGGTCTTTCCACTTTTCTGTGGAAAGACCTATTGTATTTGTTCTGATTATCATTATTATTATTTTTTTTTTTTTCT